ATAGGATTTCAAATTCCACTTTGCAGGAACTCTAAGGAGCCACCACATGTTGAATTTTGGTGTGGTATCAAAGAATGGTACGCACAATTAGCTGAAAAAGCTATTAACATACTTCTCCCTTTTCCAACTACCTATCTGTATGAGGCCAAATTTTTATCAAAAACTTAAACCAAAACATCATATGGAAGCAGACTGACTACAGAAGCAAGCCTGAGAATCCAGCTGTCCTCTATTAAGCCAGACAGTAAAGAGAGTTGCAAACATGTAAGATGTTGCCCATCTTTCAAGACCTTTTGGGGGGGGGGGGATCTAGTTATTTTTCATAAAAACCATTATGTGTATGAATATAATAAGATTTGTTATTTTATTTTAGAGTGGGTGAATAAATATTTAAAATGTACTCAGTTTTAATTTCTAGTCTGATGAGTATTGATAGATTAGAGCACCCATAAAGAGAAGCTCTGTGGAGTCCCTCAGTAATTCATAAGGGTTTAAAGAGGTCCTGAAACCAAAAAGTTTAAGAACTGCTCAGGTCTGACTAAAAGGAACGCTCCAAGATCCTTGTCTGGGCTTCCTTGAGGACTTCGTCTTTATGTTCATCTCTTCAGTCTGAAATCATGAAAAAGACATCTAGGCTCTCCCAGCCCCCATGAGTACACCCAGTTCCTACCAGCCAACACTGAAAGTCTTCTGTATCTGGCACAGGAAGCAATCACTGAAGCTCTTCTCAGACAGGCCACATCCTGCCTCGTATTATGAAATTTAGGTGGGGGAAACCCAGTTGATTCAAGTTCTCAGTATTTTTCCCATGAGAAGCTGCTTTTTATTATCACAGATCTGATAATTTCCACTTAAGAGGTAAGGTTTTAATAAAGCTGTCAGCTTGGTGTTTGGAATCAGACAGGCTCACCTATTTCATAGCTTTAAAGTTTGGGCAAGTTTTTTTTTTTTTTTAATCTCTCTGAGCTGCAGTTCCCTATACATGAGGTAAAAACTGGGTTAATGATAGGTTTAATGGTGGTGTTGATCCTTAGCAGGTGTGTTAATAGGTTTTAATTCTCATTCCCCTTGTTTCTATTGGCAGTTTTCTTGGACTTGGGAGTTTGAGGTGGCAGTTAGCTTGAGCGCTGTTTGTGTCACAGCTGAATGACTACAGACTCCTGTCAGAGAGAGCTGTTCAGCCCCACTGTTGGATATATTTGATTAAGTACATATTTTTTATAATAAATCCTACCCCCCTACACACATGCACACAGATTGCACAAAAAAGGCAAGGTGATTTGGCATATGATCAGTCAGACCTTTTAGATTATCAGCTAATGTCTACTTGGCTCTTCTGATAAATACTTTGATAATCACACAAGCAAGAATAAATAGCCTTCAGTGAAAGTGTCAGTCCTGAGGGACTAGCTCTGTTCTTTTGAAGATACGTATTCCGTATTTTTAGATATGAGCACATAAATGGTCTAAATCATCCCAGACCTTGTACAGAATGGTCCTTCTGTACTAAATCATTCTCTGTGTGCTAAGTTTAAAATGTAGTCTTGATTTTTCTCTAGTCTTTTAGGGAAGTTCTTTCTCTACTGAAAACAGAGCATTGAAAAGAGAGGGCCCATCGCTGTTTTCTGGGGTTTTATTCTTTTATCCCCCATTCCATGGAGATGTCCCCTGACCTCTGGTACTGTGGCTCCTGGAAGGCTAGAGAGTTGTTATTGTGCAGGGTTAGGGAACCCATACGCACAGCATATTTTCTCAAAGGACACTCAAAGTATAAATGCTTTGAGGTGGTGGGAAGAAAAAAGATGTTAAAAGGGAACCTTAAAACTTAGAAACAGTTTCGTACCACAGTGGTCTGTACATCATGAAGTCGCCTTTGATGTGTCCCAGCAGTTACGCCCAGATTTGCTGTGACTCTGCTCTCCCCACTCTCTTGACTGAGCCTAAACTCTTCCTCACTCTCTACTCAGCATCCTTCCTATTTATCCTCAGCTCTTCCATCACACTCTCCCAGATCACGCTGTTTGCTTTCAATTCTTAAAGATTGGTTTAGGATCGCTTAACCTCTCTCTCTGTTTTGATGTTACCGTCTTTCCTTAAAGACCACCTTCTAGTACCAGTTTTAACTTATGATCAAGTGCTTTCAGGTGTGAAATTCATGAAATTTAGAAACTGGAAAGAAAATGGCACTGCTTTAGAGATCATTTACTTAAATTTCTGGGAGTGTGTGAAAGGTTGCAAAGTACCAGATTCTCTGCGAGCTCACTGTTTCTGTCCATGTTCATTCACAGAAATGGACACAGTGGTAACTCAGGCTTCACATTCATTCAGTCCCATGCTCCTAGTACTTTAAATATTGTCTTTCAGGCCACTTGGGTACAGTTCGCTCCTAAGGAACAAACCTGATACTTGTGTTCAGCTAATAGTGCCTGAAACTAACCACCTCCTCAAATGCTTGAAATAAATACTCTTTTGATAAAGCCATATACTCAGAGAGTGTTGGAAGTACAAAAGATCATTTAGAAAATCATTTCATAGATGAGTGCCCTTGTTCTTATTAAATGACTTGCTTGTTGGAGGCAGACCTAAAGCAGAATGCCAGCCACTTCGCTTGCCAGCATTCTCTTTCCTGTAAAGGACTCCAGTTTTGTTTTGTTTTAATATAATGGAATTATTTCAGAATGAGTCGCTAGAAATAATCCTGTTCTGAAAAACCTAAGAGATGAACTGTAAATATGTCTCTGTATTTGAGTTAACAAATAAGAGAGTGCTTTGAATCCAGTAGAGGAAATAGGCAAATTAATTTAATGTTCTTTGTTTTATTGGTAGGTAAATCTTCTTTAGATGGTTGTCATACTTAAAGTAGGAAGAAGTATATTCTGTGCAGGAGTAAAAATAAGTTAGAATTCTGTTTTCAATCTTTATCATACACATAGCCTAATCAAGTTCTTCTGAAGTGTGACTATTACAGGGGCTCATTTGTGGTATCAAGTTCAAGTAAATGTTGGTTCTCTGCTCTCTCTCCAGTGACCTTTGCCATTTTGTTGAGTATCTGAAAGTATCAGAGACACTCTGAGATCATCTCAAAGTACCTGAGAGGCTCTGAAATACATACTAAATCTGTTTATTACTAAATCAGGAACTATTTCCTGAGCACTGCTTAATGTTTTAGCTAGATGCAGTAACTACAGCAAACAACATGAGTTTTGTTTGAAACGCAAATGTATTGCATGTAACTAGGACTTCATAAAAGTAAGCATTGTTGCTTTTGGCTTTTAATTATTAAATAGGCATTATTTATTTTTTTCTTTCCAAAGAAAGGAAAAAATTTGATAAAAAGAGAAAATTTCCCCGCTTTTGATGAAGTAATTCAGTGAACCTTTTATTTATGTATTATAACCATATGTACCCAGCCAGAAGTTTTTCTTCTCTTCTGTCTCTCCTACAACTAAATAGCTTTGGGCAGAAGCATGCAACCTTTTTGCTATTAAGTTTCTCTGAAGTAAGGCCAGAGAGCTTTAAAAATATTTTGACCTAAGATGGTTCAGGAGTCTGGTTATGACTCGATTCGTTCTGACTGATTTGATTGAATAACATCTTGGATTGTCAAAGAAGTGATGTAATGAGTGTTTTCTCATTCTTGCAGGATATGCTTAGGCTAACAAATATATCTCCCACCTAGTATAATACAGAGAACTTCCCAACCTGCTCCCTCCAATTGAGGTACAGTTTCCTTGCTCAGAAACCGGTCTCTTTTTACTTTGATTAGGATCTGTTAGATTCTTGTCCTTTTCTTTCTTAAGAGGAAGTTTGGACTCACTCCCTATAACTTTTTTTTTAATTTTCAATTTTAAAAGTTAATATTGTAAAAACTGGAAAAAAATCTCAAACTTAGTGGCAGTGGCAGGTATCCTGAAGTTTTGGAAAGTAAGCTGCTAATGCAGTGCTTCGTCCTTCTCAAATACATGGACGCTCTCCTACATAACCTCCTACGTAACAGACATATTGTTACCAGCTAATCCTCATAAGACAACCCCGTGAAGGCCAGTCGGCAAAAAAAGAACATCTGAGTGCTGCATTTTACAGAGTCATGACAATTCACAGTTGAGAGGTCTCAGTATATAACAGAAAAAATATATATACTTACCGAAAACTGAATGACAAGTGAAGAGGCAGGTGAAGATGATCATGGTGGTGAGACTGCCGCCCGTATGTTTGCCTGGGACTCCAGAGTGTCTGCATTCACTTCGATGCTGAGTCTGTGAGGTCTTGTGTTGACTCATCATGTGACCACTGGATAGTGCCAGCCTTTGGCTTTGCATTTGGCCCCAGTACTTTTTCTCAAGAGTCAGCCATCTTAGTCTCATTGGCCTCCTTCCTGACGTAGCTTTTGAGAGCACAGTTATTCCACAAAGTGCAGGTATGTCAGCACAGCAGGGGGAGTGCAGGGCTGAAGCTGTTCACTGCTCCTTAAGGGTGGTCTCGCATGAATGAGTGTCCTGCCCTGGAGCTAGCTCTCTTGCTGAACAGTAAGAAAACTCGCCCTGTGATGAGCTATACACACCCTTTGATTTCACTTTATTCCTGAGAAAATAGTCCTAAATGAAGTTCTTCATATAATTTTCTTCGATATTAGAAAGTGCCATTGTCAAAGTGACATGGTTGTGACATAGGTATGCTGAAGAATAGTTTTTCTTAGAAAAAGTGAAAAGGTTGATTAATAAGGTTGGTTCTTTGAAAGAACTATTATAGGAAATCTCAATATAAGAAACTGTTTTCCTGAGAGAAATGTACAGGTTTACATAAATGTTGATTAATTTTAAAGTTTTTTTTTCTTTTAACATTTAAAGAAATTCAGAAAGCATTCACACATCCCATCACCTTATCAAAGTGACTTGTGTTCTTTCTTTATGTGTCTATTTGGATAACTTTCACACTAAGAATCTTATTTATATTAAAAAGTTATTACACAGGTAGATTCTGATTATGTATGTACTTTTAAGGCTCTTGCAGACCAATTTGAAGATAAGACCACGTCTGTGCTGGAACGCCTGAAGGTTTTCTATTGCTGCCGAGTACCACCTCACTGGGCCATTCAGGTATTTTTGTTGTCGTCATTGGGTATGGAGAATACTTCACATGTGAAAGAAAAAGCATTAGAAAAGAATGACTTTCAATTTGTGTTTGAGTTTTCAAATATTTCAGTGAAAAGAATAAAAGTATCTAGCTGGGGATTGCCAGTTACTTCAAATTGCTATTTTGAGTGAAGTTATATTAGACTTCTAAAACTTTTTTTAAATTTTAAACTAGATTAAATAGAATCCTTGAAACTAAATGATTGGAGAACCACAAAAGTTTCCATTTTTCAAATAACTTTTTATATTTAAAATCCCTTTAAAAGGGACTTTATGCTAAAGAATGAATCTTTTAAGCAACTTGTTTACAAAAAGTAAAAGAAAGCATTTATTTGATACGCAATATTGTGAGGTATCCTTAAGTACGCTTCTCTTTCTAAGGATGTAGGAATAGCTAGTTTAGCTCCTGCCCTGTGGTTCTCCTGTGTTATAGGCGTGGTTCCCCTGTTCTATAAAACTGTTAGCCTCTGTGGCGACTGGGACACCTGGTCCAGCTCCTTAATTCTACAGACAAGAAAATTGAGGCCTATTGCAATTAACCACACTTTTCCAATGTTGATCACACAGCTGTTCATAAACTACATCTCTAGTTTTTCAACTTTTTGTGTAGTTTACCTCCTTTCCTATCCCTTCATTGCGTTGTAATTGTACCAGGTAATAACAACCAACTTTTACTGCACATTTATTATGAGGCACACATTTTGTTCTGCCTTCACATGCATTGTCTTATTTTATTGCAACAACTTTGTGAAATATCCCCATTGTACAGATGTGGAAGTTATAGCAGAGAAAAGCTAAGTGGAATCAAAAGGTACCAGCCAGAAATTTCTAGATGATTTGGTAACTGTTGTCATTTTAACCAGCTTCCAATCCTCTCTGGTGGATTATACACATACGTAGTGACTTAGAACTACAAATGCCAACCCACTATATAACGAATCTCCATCATAAGATTTCTTAGAATAGGTTATATTCTGTTTGTTTTTATTGAAGTGTAGTTGATTTACAATGTTTTGTTAGTTTCAGGTGTATAGTATCGTATACATATATATGTTTTTTTCAGATTCTTTTCCATTGTAGGTTATTACAAGATATTGAATGTAATTCCCTGTGCTATACAGTGGACTCTTGTTGTTTACCTGTTTTATATACAGTAGTGTGTATCTGTTAATCCCAAACTTCTAATTTATCCCCCCTCCTTTCCCCTTTGGTAGAGTAGGCTGTATTTTTAAGCACAAGATAAACAAGGGGGTTTATTACACATTGGGGTTCACTTTATCTATTGAAGGGGGGCTCAGTAACACATAGACACATAAAAAGCATTGTTATATCATCTCAAAAGGAGTAGCTTCTTCATCAAGAAGGTGTTAACAACTGGAGCTTTTCGGCATGTTTTTGACCCTGACCTGTGAAATTTGTTAAGTGCTTTGTACTTTGTGGTTTGTGGTATACAAAGATTTCAGGCTTTGAGCTCTTATTAAGACAAAAAATGTCTATTGAGGGTGTAGCTGTTACTCAGTTTCTGAACAGAATCATTAGGAAAATTAAACACTGTTGAAACATAATTTAGGCTAAGTGTTTATTTTATCTGCTTAGGAGGCTGTGGATTTTAGGATCTTTGGGCAGTTAGAAAAACATTCTCTTTCATTAAGAAATTAAATCATTTTTTCTTTCTTTTTAGGGAGTAACCATATCTTTTTGTACTATTTTTAAAGATCAAGAAATAACAGCATGGTTTATTGTAAAAGGAGAATTTGCCTTTAGCTAGCCATATCAGCTTAGGTGCCGTAACTTTCTTCATTTGTTGAAAGAAAAGATTAAACTACTTACTACTTGAGCACCAAGACTTATTCCAGCTCCCACATGCTGTGTTCAGTTTTTGAAAATGTCCAATCACATATTCTAAAATAGCCAAATTCGCCTGTATTTCATGGAATGCAGAAGAACTGGACCATCCCTTTTGTTTATTTTGATAATATATTAGCTTATAATTTTCAGATGTATTTCATTTTACTTTCTAATTTTGTTAGTCCTGCATTTTCCATGTCCATTAGCTTCTTAACTCTTAAATATGTATTGAATTTTGAAACCATACCTTATTTACGAGTCTCACCTAATTTTTTAACCTTTCTAATACTGTTTTCTATGCCTGCAGGATGGACCACTTATAAACTACAATAGATTTAATTTTGAGTATGTTTAACCTTCACTCACCTTGCCACAAAATTTGTGCCCTTTTATCTGCCAAGGACTGGAAAATTAGATAGCTAGGTTTTTTAGAATGTGCTTAAAGTAAATTAGTGTTTTGTTTTCCTCAGCTATATACCCAGAAGTGGGATTGCTGGATCATGGGGTGGTTCTGTTTTCAGTTTCTTGAGGAACCTCTGTTTTCTGTAGTGGCTACAACACTTTACATTCCCACCAACAGTGCGCAAGAGTCCCCTTTCCCCCACATCCTCAGCAGCACCTCTTATCTTTTTGTTAATAGCCATTTTAACTAGAGTTTAAAAAATTGATTTATTGGATCTCAGCTTTACAACAGAGATCATATATAGAATCTCTAGGGAATAAGAAGTATAGATTTTGCTTTTTAAGTTCTCAGTTCTTGGGGAAAAAATGGATATATTGAATGTTTTGAAACAATTGCTATTTTATTTTTTTAATTACTCACCTCCTTTAAAGAAGCTTGCTAAAGTATTGAATCATTGCAATTTCCTAATTGAATTATAGAAATTGAGGTTGAATTATATAAATTATGTATTTATTACAATTAGCAGACCCTTGAGACGGCAGATTGGATATATCTGCAAGTGAAACAGGGCTATCTGTCTTTGCATACAGAAGTGTTCATTATTTTAACTTTATTTTCTAGCGCCAACTTGCAAGTCTGCTCTTTGAGTTGGGATGCACCAGTTCAGCCCTTCAAATATTTGAGAAACTAGAAATGTGGGAAGATGTTGTCATTTGTTATGAAAGAGCCGGGCAGCATGGGAAGGTAAGTAATAGTAAAATTCTTTATACTGGGAAGAACCTTCCATCTTTGAGCATCTTCTCATATGTTTTGTTTTTAAAACCTATTTTTACCAACAGTTCACTTATATTCCTTTTTTCACCTTTTCTCCAGAAATCTTTTCAATGTTTTCTCTGATTTCAATTGCAGCAGACTATTTTATGTGTCTGCATGGGTATGTGTATATTAAAGACAAAAGCAAGCCCAAAATTGATACATTATTTGATGTTTAGAATGAATAATAAAATCCTTAAAGACACTGTGATCTCTTTCCTTTATTAACTCTCCTCTTGTAGGAGAGCTTCTGAGTGAACTGTTAGGAATTATTTTCAGCATTACTGGGTTACCTCATGATCAGAGGCTGTGGGTCTGAAGGAAGGTTACCTATGAGGAAGAGCAGCTGGATCTGCCTGTAGAAAATTCAAAGTGTGTATAATGACAATGCCTCTCCCCTCAGGGCAGAAGAGTTGTCAAGTGTGTAATATATATTTAATTCTACCCTTAAATTAGGTCAAGAGGAAAAGTGTTGCAATATTTGCATCTATTAATCGGATGTTTTTCCACTCATAAATGAACAGAATTTTTTAAATAATGAGGGATTATGCATTGTGTGTATCTGTTAAATGGACACATTGAAATTAGATGTTAATTTTGGAGTAAAATTTTAAATGGCTAAATTTCTATCACAAGTATAGTACACAAGCAGAATAAAACCCACAAATAGGTCCACCAAAACTGAATCAAGAAGAAACTGAACACTTGAACAATCCGATCACTAGAAAGGAAATAGAAATAGCAATCAGAAACCTCCCTACAAATAAAAGTCCAGGACCGAATGGCTTCACCGGGGAATTCTACCAAACATACAAAGAAGAACTCATACCAGTCCTTCTCAAACTCTTCCAGATGATTCAAAAGGAGGGAATACTCCCAAACTCATTCTATGAAGCCACCATCTCCCTGATACCAAAACCAAGCAAAGACACTACAAAAAAAGAGAATTAAAGGCCAATGTCACTGATGAACATAGATGCCAAAATCCTCACCAAAATTTTAGCAAATAGAATCCAACAACACATAAAAAAGATTATACATCATGACCAAGTGGGGTTCATCCCAGGGACACAAGGCTGGTTCAACATACGCAGGTCAATCAATGTAATACATCACATCAACAAGAGAAAGGACAAAAACTACAT